TTCTTCTCACACGCCACGTTATCAAGACCCCTTACTAAATCTCTAATCAAATCCTCAACATCCACCTTGAAACCTCTTTTCTTGACTTGAAGGGAAGATGAACTATTAGTAATCTTTGATTTTGAAAGAAAATCCCTAGCTTTGACTAGATTTGATTCAAGTAACTAGATAAAGAAGTTGATGTGAAGTTGATAGTGTTTCAGCCTTTCGACCTGTGCCAAGATGGAATTGCAAATATCCAACACTCTAAGACAATCATCCAAGTAGTAGGAAAACGATTCATCCAATGGAGACACCTTAAGATTGGAAAATAGAACAAGGCTCTAGTCATTTTTGCTCAACCTCTACAACTCCAAACTCTGCAACTCCAATGTTAGCCTATTTTCATTTCTTGAATTTTTCAACAAATTTTAATGGATGAGGCAAGGGAAAAACTCTATTTTGGTTTCTTTTGTTATCATATGTCTTCTTTTTTGTTTTTGTTTTGCATTTGTTGTGCCTCATTTCTTTTAGGGTTTGTGGAGATAAGGGAAAACAAAAGGCCAAAAGGGAGAAGAAAAGGGGAAGTGAAACAGGAAGAACATGATCGTTTTCTTTTTCTTTTTCTTTTTTCTTTTAATACTAACATGGAAAAGATTAAAAATTCCAAATCATCCAAAATTCCTGTATTTTCTCCATGTCATTAGTTTAAAAAAAAATAGAAGATTGATTTTTTTGGCAATTTAACGTTTCACCTATCACTTACGTCAATTGAAGGATGAAATTGGTATCAAAAATGAAAGTTTAAAGATATTTTGGTATTTTTTTAAATTAAGGAACAATTTTAATACCAAAATAAAAAGTTAAGGGACCAAAATGATATTTGAAACTATTACTAATAGTACTTTTATTTTGGGTGTGCGTTGTGACTCATCACTCAATGCGTTGGTAATTACGAAGATTTGAGTTATTATACTGTTATGTTAAAAATTTCATATCCCCACTTTTTTTTTTAACATGGAGAATTATAGATGGAGGAGAAATTTTTAGGTGATCGGTGCAAGTTGAATTTATAATTAATTAAATATAAATACTAAAATTGAGGGTGAATTGTTAGATTCAAAAGATTAATTTCTATCCTCATCTTAAATTATATTTGTTTAAAAAGAGAAATCTAAATTTTATCAGATTTGCTCAATAATTTATTAATTTATAATTTTTCAAGAGCAATCAATTTTAATGTTTGAAAATATTATTTTGTAAATTAATATTATTTTATTAAATAATAAATATTAATTAATTTATTATTTTTTTAAAAATAAAATAAAATAAAATAAACTAACCTAGACAAAATTATCTTCCTCGAAGAATCTTTTGAGGGGTGGCAGTTAGGGCCAGGTTAAACTGTTTCTCACAGATTCCCACACCTAGACAATTATGGTTGGCTTTCGGCGTTAAGATCTAAATTAGCTGTTCTAATACTGAGATTTTTTTTGTTTTTAATTTTTGGCCCATGTGAATCAGAGAAATTGATTCCCTGTTGACAGTTAAAAAAGTTCCATAATATTAAAAAAAGACAATTTAGTAGTAACTCATATCTATTAACATTTACACTTTACTTTAAAAAGCTTCTCATTCTCTCAAAATGATCTAATAACTTTAAAAAACATATTACTAATATGGTCTACCTATACTTTTTCACACTGACAACCAAAAATTCACATCTGACCTTACTTGACACTGCACAATTAACCAATAAGCGCAACCTAAACAAACAAACCAAAAAAAAAGAAAAAAGAAAAAAAAAGAAGGGTAAACTCCATTCTTTCTTTTACATTTTTTGGATTAAGGTCTAATGAATGATAAAGGTGAAAGCTTCCCCTTTTTTTTTTTCCTAGCAACATGGCTTACAAGATAAATCATGTGGTGCCATTTCCATATATATAAGCATTGACATTAATTTCCATTACTTAAACTGTACTCAAACTAGGAAAAAAGTGATGGATATAGACTACAACATTGATATAATTTCTAAAGTTATTAGACTATTTTGAGAAAAAATAAACTCTTCATACTAAAGTGATAAAAGATCAATAATTAATTTACTAATTAGAAATTTAATCTGGTAAAAAAAGTTTTTTTCCTTTTACAAACAGAAGCCAGCACGCTTGATGTCTTTAGCCCCTTGTTCTTTAATCAGCATGATAATCTAGGCACGCAAACAGCCCGTAAGAGTTGAACAAATTCTCTTTTGACAAAAAGAGACTTGAAAGAGAAGTTGACCATACCCCAGAAATCTCTCCATCCAGAGAAAGCCTAATCTTTCTTCTTGATCCAAGGCCTAAAAAAATCCTTCTTCCTGATCTTTTAACTCTTGATCCCACGTACATATCTTATTTTGTTAAAAGAAAATTCAATTCCAAAGACACACACCAAAAAAAAAAAATTATTATTCTAATTGTGTCTAAACTTGAAAAAGAAAAATTTCATAAAGTAAAAATGTATTTTGTAATCTAAACTACATGATTTAAATATGATAAAGTAGGTCATTAATGTTTGAGATTTTTTCTCATTTAATAACCTTTAATTTATAATTTAATATAATCTGAACGGTAAACATAAGGTTAAAAAGAAAAACACACTCTCATTTTGGTTATATCTTGCTTACATCGGAAGGAGTCTCCCTTGATTCCAGGTCGTTTTCAATGCATTCAGTTGCCACCGAAACAGCTTTGACCTTTGCATATAAAGGATGCAGATGCAACAACACCTTCAGAAACCGTAATACAACCAACTACACCTTGTTTTTCTTCCAAACGCCATTCTTTCCTCGTTGCCATCTCACTCAAACAGTTGACTTTCGCGTTTTATATGTGTAGGCAAATGCTGTTTATATTCCATGTCGTTTTGCTAAATGCTTAGGAATATGAAACTGCCGTCTGGATTGGACCCTGTCAAAACGACACAGGTGAATGTGAATTAAATTTCATAGAGCCAGATTGGTTTTGGGCTTGTGTCCATTTTAAACTCTGCTTCTCTAGTTTCACTTTTTGCAGCCCAATTCAAGTTACTTTTTTATATGGGTTTATTCAATCTAAACATAGCCCCAGCCCATTTGCCACAATCACTGCCGCTCCATCCTTTGGCAAAAACCTTCCTTTACTCTTTTACCTTAATAAGTAAGCTTTAACCTCTTAATTTATACTATGATACTTTTAATCTTTTATTTATACGAATTAAAAAAAATAACCCTAATTTAACGTAAGGTTATAATGTTCATCAATTCACTATTAATATTCTGTTAACAATCAACTAATATACTGTTAATGGTGACAAAAACAAAATTAATAAAATATTAACAGTTAGTTGACAAACGTTATAAACTAACATTAAATAAGGATTTTTTTAAATTCACAAAGATAATGAATTACTTTTTTTTAATTTGTAAAAATAAGAGATTAAAAATATCATAATATAAAATAAAAAGTTAAAACCAACAAATTTATTACTATAAAAACTAAAAATAAGTTTTTACCCCATCCTTCACGCAAGTAAACAAGTTAAAAACTAGAACTATCAGAGTTCATGGATGAATATGAAGCTTATGATCTCTAAAACAAAAACATTAATAAAAATGAGATATATTTACATAATTATAGTACTCAGATGATTAAAAGATACTAAAACCATAACTAATCTAACAACATGCTTGTCATATATTGAACCTGGAGGTATATTAATCGGCATTCAAACAGAGGAATTTAACTGGCTTCGAAACTGAATTTTTTTGAAAATAAAGAAACCGCTTACAATTGTTATGAAATTAAACTTCAAAACTTGATTCTTGAAATCGAAATCGAACTAAATGGGCACGCCTTTTCTGAATATAGAACATGATCTTCTCCCTTCTTTCTCTGCTCTGTACCAGAGAGACCGATGGACAAAAGCCACGTTTAACAAAGTTTTTATTAGTTTCCTGCAATTGCAGAAGGACATCCCCACCGTTTTTGCAAACTCGCTACAGCACATAGAACATGAAAACAAAATGACAAAATAAAAACTCTGTGGGCCTTGTTTTTATTGGTTTTAATGGAATGAAAAACTCTAGTTTGAAGTGATAACTTAATATTGTGACATAATGATCACAGCTTTTTTGAAAAAAGTGATGACATTTAAAAATTTAAAATTTAAGTTTTAACAATCCCATTTTTCATCTCTCCAATTGTACTAATTCCACGAAAAAAAACCCCTCCCTAATTTCCAGCATTGGGGCCATCAGTTCGTTCATTAAGCTTATTATGTTCTGGAAATGGGAAATAAGAGCAGATTTCCCTCGAATCCTAGCGTATGCAAGTGATGCCACCATTTTCGGTGTTGAACTTTTCCCATTTCTTGCCGTCGAATGTTTGTAAATTGATTAAACAACAATTAACTAACATGAGAACAATCTTCGTAAATATGTGAAAGTGCTACAACATATATAGAATTGGAAGAATTAGGCTAATTCTTCAAAGTGATTCTCACCATAAGTAGAATGTTTAAAGATAATTGTTTCTCCAATAAGAAAATGAAGGACCTCTTTTTATGTTCTTTAACCTGGTTAAGTATAACAGAGAGATGAAATTCAAAGAAAACCTTTAGCGAGGAAAAAAAAGAACGGTGTTTATGACTTTTATTTGTATATTATGTTTTTTTGATGAATAAGAACGATTAATGCATCCTCTTAACACACCTAAGAAAACCCTAAAAACTTATGCAGGCGTATTCGGTATTTTATATTTAGAAAATTTTGAGGTACCGTTAGAGATTGAACAAATTAGCATATTAACCCTGAACTCTACCAAGCGGCACGATGGTCACGCGCCTCATAAAGGTCAATAGGTTGTTTACCAGATCTGGGGATTGAATCTCTAATTATTAACATCTGATAATACTAACCTATTAACCATTGTCCTTATAAAAAAAAAAAAATTAGCATATTAACCACAGCCTAGGTAATGTACTAATTTTTAGATGCTAACATTTTCGTGCAAAATGTATTTTCGGTCTTTGCACTTTGCAACCTCAGTATATCTGAACACCAAAAAGGAAGAATTAAAAAGACAAAAAAGGAAAATTGTAATCCCTATAATTTCTTCTTAATCTATTGTC